CAGGTTAAAAGTTCAACTTCCATTCACATTTAATTCATTTTAAACAAACAAATATCATAATTAACTGTAAACACGAATTATCTAACTCTGATACGAACAAATAATATCCCCACTTAATAAACCAGTTAATAACACAGATTTAAAGACGGTGATCCATGTGTTTATTCCGATCACATACTATTTACTAATGATAATCTTTTATCAGTCTCCGTAACGAAAACAGATTCCCTCTGAACACTACATTTACATCATACAAGTTATTACAAGAAGCATCATCATCAGTATCATCAATGTAACAATCAGTTATACTTTTCACTTATCAGTTCAAATGGTCACATTTGTCGCATGACTTAAATATTTCGTGTAGTTTAGTTCTTTGTAGGATCAGTGGTTGTTATAAGCTACTGAGCATTTAAGGTTAGAATGAAATAATTATCAAGCTGTCCTTTCAATATGCTTTTCCTAACTTAAATGGTAAGCTAATTAATAGTATTGTAGTATTGATCAAACTAATATATATTAGCCCTGTTAATTTAATTGTTCTACTGTACATTTTATTTACGAACGATTATGGCCTTTATGCAAGTATACTGTGCAGCAGTTCGTTACGTTCTAATTTACGGCTGTGAAACGTGGCTATTAAGAGTAGACGATACTAGTAAGTTAATAGTATTCGATCATAGATGCTTTAGAAATATTACTGGCATCTGCTGGGATCATCGGGTAAGTATTAGTGAGGTTAGTTAAAGGGTATTAGAGAATGATGATGGTAAATCAGTCGATGAGGTTGTGAATCTTCATCGACTCAGATGGTGTTACGTATGCCTGAACACCGATTACCACGACGCGCAATGCTGACTAGTGTTGAGGATGGTTCGAAGAAAGTTAGAGGCGGCCAAACTAAAACGTGGCATCAGTACTTGAAGTCACTAATTTCTAATCTGAGCCATGTTGGTAGATGCAGACTACTTGGTTGGTGTCCGCGTGACTATCATAATCAATGATTGGAGACTGTGTGTGACGTGACTCAGAATCGATCACATACACTCTCTATCTTCCCTTAAACTATGAGATTAAAACAGCTTCATATCATTATTTCTACGTACTAAATCTTTCTTCCTGTACTATATCTCTATATTCAATTTTTCTTTTATATATTACCACAATTGAAGTAACTACTTTTATGAATCCAGTGTTCATCTCGCTGCGCTAATTAGGTATGGCAACTTGGACCGATGCATATATGTGCCTGGTTCTACGTTGTAGCTGACTGACTGACTGACGTTGTGATTGACTAACTGATTGACTGATTAACCCATTAGGAAAACTTCAAATTATTAAGCTTTTTACATATTAATTTAATAAATGTTCGTTCTGACACGTAATGAAGATCTTGATGACCCATTTCCGATTCATATAACCGTACTAAGTTTTACCATAATGTGACTGGTCACTTATGATATCAGTTTATTATTTTTATTGTATCCCAAGGTAAATATGGTTGCTATATTATCAGAGTTATTATTTTACAGTCTTGGCCTCCAAGAATGTGATGGTTAACCCATAGCTCTTGAATCCTCTCGCTTCCAATATTTGATAAGCTGTATTGATTATTGTTAAAGTGTTGTTGCTTGAATCCCTTTTTCATATTTAAAAAAAAAGAAATTTAACAGATTGTTTTTAATTCATAATTACCATACTATCCCAAAAAACCGAAGTTCTGGGAGATGTATAATCCTTCCATGAACAAAGAGAACGAGATGCTTATATAAAAGCGATGATTGTTAAAGCAAGGGCTGTATTCCTACATTTGAAGAACATATGGAACCCAAAACAACTTTCAACAAATATCAAAGTCAGGATCTTCAATACGAGCGTCCATATAGCCCAAATGTGCAGAGCTAAAACGTAGAGAACTACCACAAACATCATCAAGAAGGTACAAGTATTTATAAATGGTTGTCTACTAAAGATACTCAACATCCATTGGCCTGATACCATCAGCAACAGCCTCCTGTGGGAGAAGACAAACCAGTTTCCAGCTGAAGAGGAAATTAAGAAAAGACGATAGAAATGGATAGGACACAATGTGTAAACCACCAAACTGCATTACGTGACAAGCACTAACTTGGAATCCTGAAGTAAGGCGGAAAAGAGGAAGGCCAAAGAACACATTACGTCGGAAATAGAAGCAGATATGAAAAGGGTGAATAAAAACTGGAAGGAGCTGGAAATGATTGCCCAGGACAGGGTTGGGTGGAGAGTGCTGATGGGCAGCCTTTGCTCCTCCACAAGGAGCAACAGGCGTAATTAAGTAAATAAATAGTGTTGGAATCCAGGACATGCATTACATACCATATGGCTTTAGCTAGAAGTATTAAGCTACCTCCTTGTGTTTGTGTTTACACTGGGAACAGCTTTCATTTCAAAAGCCATCAAGTTATCCACTAAGTGACTAAGTCTAATTTACCTGTAATTTATTAAATGAGTATAATGTTTATTTATAAGGGTTTGGATTCTTCACTTATTACTATAAATTATTTTGGAGTGGTGGAGAATATTTGTAGCTCAGGTAGATGATAATGGTGATGTTTTGTTCTCTGAGCTGAATGGCTTGATCGTGAAGCTTTCATGGTTCTTCTGAACGACATCATCAGCACAAACTTCAGGTAGAAGTGAAGTGTTCGAATTTCTCCACATGTGGTTCACAGCTTGTCCTGTAGACCTAAATGTTGATTGGTTCTTATTGACCTTAAACCTGTCATTGTTTACTTCTTCCATTTTTCCTCTAGTCATTCATTCCAACTTTTTCCTAAGTATCTCACATTGATTGACACAGTAATTTTATTCATTTAGTGTACATAATATACATTAAGAAGAAATCCATTCTCTTACAAACATTTAAATGTCATCGTAGAAAGTATTCTAGTTGAAAACAGTTATTGAGATATTGAGACTATAATTGATTCATACCTAGATTATGCTAATCACACACTATTCATAGGTGTTTCGTAGATACTATTGAATTTGAAATTAGAAATCATAAAATGACCTAATTTAGACAATCACTGAAAAGCAGGTAGGACTGAATAGTTGTGTCGTTCTAGCGATTGACTCATCAACAGTGAGTATCCACGACTCTACAAGGAGTTGGTTGAACCCAAAACCCCTCGGCAAACACTTTACTTTCAAATCAATTGATCATTTACAGTTCAAACTACAGTCGATTAGCGATATTGCATGACCAATATTCATTGCTATTGATGAGTAGCTACCCCACTTCCTATATGACTCTCAAAAAACTAGCAGACAGTCATTATTATTTACTTACTTACTTATGCCTGTTACTCCTCGTTGGAGAGCATAGACTAAAAAACGCTAACCAGACAGTTATTATTACATGCTGTTATATATCATACAGGGAAATGCAACGTTTAAAAACTTCGTAAACGTCATTTACCAATCAATTAATCACGTTTTATCACCATAGCAATCGTCTTTCCACAGAAAAGTTGAATTTATTCTATCATATACTAATACAAAGTTCCCTAATCTCTTCGCATTTTATTATTATTATTGTTTATAATTCAGTAACAATACGGAAATCGCATAAATTAGTTGAATAAATGAACTATCTATACCTAAACAATACCACCAATTTGCACCCAGCGCTAGTTTTCCCTTTCATCAAACACTATATTTCTATGACGAATTAAAGCTTAGAAATTTTGATCATGAACTATGAGACAGTCAAAAAGGTACTCGACAGTTATTTCATTTACCACATTCCTCGTAAGTATTAAATAGTAGGTTGGAAGAGAGATAATCTGTCCGAATCAATATACAATCATTGACTGTTGAATTTAGCTGTGTACGTAGATCCAAACTAACTGATTGAGCTCCTTGTAATTTTTGTGACCAATTGTTGAAGATATTGGATAACGTGTCTAAAAACTGATCGTCATACTTACATTCACCTTATGTTTTGGATTGAATCTTGAGTTTTAACATTATTCAATACTACTTATTTCACGAATTCGTTTTTTCTTCTCGAATCATATTTTTTATGCTTAAACTTTTCTGTTACCACGACTATGGTTACTAATTATACTATGCTGTTATCTTGCTGAGCTGATAGAGTGACAACTTGAACCGCTGAATATATGGTGGATTGACGACCGATTAACAGACTGCCTAGTTGATTGATCGATTGACTGACTGTCTGTCTATCTATCTGCTTATTACAAAAGTTGAGACTAAAATATAGCATGTTTACAGCATTACAATTAATCATCACTTATTCCACAATGGGGTATGGTGTTGATATTTAAGTCTTCCAAGATGATCAATAATTAAACGACTTGTAATTCATTAGTTACTTTGGCTTATTACCGCTTATAGGCCATAGGCTGACGACTAGGATTCTCTGGAGGTCAAGAAAACACCCAGAAATGTTTTCTAAAATCAATGCTAAATAGAAGCGTCTCAGAAACATCTAAGAAAATGAATGATTATGTCACATTTTTATTGAATAATTACCTATATTGTAACTATATTTAATATGTTTCTGGAAACTTTAAGAAGACTAAATTCACATGAAACTCCACAAATATACTCAGTTTTTTGCACATATCAAATCTTGGTGTAAAGCTCTTACTCTTATTTCACATCTTTTCTCTGTTATTCTAGTTGAAGTTTAGGTTTAGTCTAGGGTCTATAGAAAGCAACTAGGAAGTCAGTAATCAGTGTCTAACTAAAAGACATATTAGTACTAACATCCTGACTTCATAATAATAATAAAAGGATTTTTCTTTAAAAATTTCTAAGTACTATATAGAAGATACTTTCAATGCGCTTTTTGTATGTGAGATAACGTTAAAGTCATTCATTTCTTCTTCACAACAACAACAACAACAACAAAAAGCTCAAAACTAATATTTCTTGAACTTCATTAACATTAACAAAAATATCCCATTGATGCATTTAATTGATATTTATACATTACTTACTTACTTACGCCTGTTACTCCTCGTGAAGGAGCATAGGCCGCTCACCAGCATTCTCCATCCAATCCTGTCCAAAGCAATCCTTTCCAGCTCCTTCCAGTTGTTATTCATTCTTTTCATATCTGCTTCTATTATCCGACGCAATGTGTTCTTTGGCCTTCCTCTTGTTCGCTTCCCTTCAGGATTCCAAGTTAGGGCTTGCCTCGTGATGCAGTTTGACGATTTGCATAATGTATGTCCTATTCATTTCCATCGTCTTTTCCTAATTTCTCCTTCAGCTGGAAGTTGGTTTGTTCTCTCCCACAGAAGGCTATTGCTGATTGTATCCGGCCAATGGATGTTGAGTATCTTGCGAAGACAGCTATTTATAAATACTTGTACCTTCTTGATTGTGGTTGTTGTAGTTATCCAAGTTTCAGCTCCATACAGTAGAACTGCCTTGACATTTGTATTGAAGATTCTCACTTTGATATTGGTTGAAAGTTGTTTTGAGTTCCATATGTTCTTCAATTGTAGAAATGCGACCTTTGCTTTGCCAATCCTTGCCTTTACGTCTGCATATGAGCCTCCTTGTTCATCGATGATGCTTCCTAGGTATGTGAAGGACTCTACATCTTCCAGAGTTTCGCCATCAAGAGTGATTGGATTGTTGTTTTCCGCTTTGAATTTGAGGACTTTGGTTTTCCCTTTGTGTATGCTGAGGCCTACTGATAAAGAGACTGCTGCTACACTGGCTGTCTCCATCTGCATCTGTTCGTGTGTTCGTGATAGGAGGGCTAGGTCATCTGCGAAGTCCAAATCGTCTAATTGATTTCGAGCTGTCCATTGTATTCCGTGTTCACCTTCAGATGTGGAGGTCTTCATAATCCAGTCGACCATCAGAAGAAAGAGGAAGGGAGAGAGTAAACAGCCTTGTCTGACTCCGGTCCTTACTTGGAATGCATCTGTCAGCTGTCCTCCATGCACGACTTTGAACTGTAGTCCGTCGTATGTGTTCCGGATAATGTTGACAATCTTCTCAGGAACTCCGTAGTGTCGAAGAAGTTTCCATAATGTCCTCCTATCTACACTGTCGAATGCTTTTTCATAATCAATTAAATTGATGTATAGTGATGAGTTCCATACATACATTGAAGCATATTTATTTAATAATTAAATCATGTAATCTGTAAGTTTACTTGGGCATAACCATATATCTGACTATATGTATTATTCTTCTGATTACTGTTTTTTGTGGGATGTGGCAGTTTATGTGGGAATATCGATGTTGTTGACTGAGATCATGAACCGATTGATGTTAGATCACTATTAAAAACCTGGAAGCACTGGATGGCCGTTTCGTCCTATCACGTGACTCCTCAGCAGTGCGCATCCACGATCCCACTTCGCGAGATTCGAACCCAGGACCTTCAGTCTCGTGCACAAAACGCCTAACCTCTGGACCACTGAGTTGGAACTATCGATGTTATATCATGAATACTGTGAGAAATTTTCAAATTACTGATGTATACAATAACATAATATGAATAAAACTATTTCCCAATTGTGAATTATAGTTTACTGAAAATGCTCGACTACATCCGTTATGCAATACAACTGTAATAATCTGTATTCTTATTATCATTATCATTACTATTAGTATTAGTAATAATAGTGATAATAATTACAAGTGTATAATTAAATTAAACAGATGGTCCATTATCTCTTTTGTATTCTTAACTAACTACGTGTATTACATCATTGTTATCTTTAGATATTCTCGAAACAACTGAAAAAGAAAAATAGATTTTTTCTTTCTACACAATGATCTTCCTACATAAAGAATCGATTAGTATGAAGATAAGTTTCACAATCATTTTTTTTGAAAAAAAAACAAACTATATTTTCACTGTTGATTGGTTAGAGATAATTGGCAAGAAGCCAGTTGGCATGTGTTAACAAGATATATATATATATATATATATATATATATATATATATATATATATATATATATATATATATATATATATATATATATATATATATAATGACATGAATTATTTTTTTCTGGTTAGCGTTTTTCAATACAAATGTCAAGACAGTTCTACTGTATGGGGCGGAAACTTGATCAGCCATGAAAGCCATCATCCAGAAGATACAAGTGATTATTAATAGTTGTCTACACAAAATACTTCAAATCCGTTGGTCAGACACTATCAACAACAACCTACTGTGGGTGAGAACAAACCAGATTTCAGTGGAGGAAGAAATCAGAAAGAAGTTCTGAAAGTAAACAGGGCACACATTGAAAAAAGCACTCAACTGCATCACAAGGCAAGTACTCATTTGGAATCCTCAATGCCAAAGGAGAAGAGGAAGAACGTTGAACACATTACGCCGAGGAATGGAGACAGACATGAAAAGAATGAACAAGAACTAGATAAGGAAATGAAGTCTGGAAAGGAAGTCTAGGTGAGACATAGTGGGTTGTAGAATGCTGGTCGGTGACCTATGCTTCATTGAGAGTAACAGGCGTAAGTAAGTAAGTTAATGACATGTTTACACGAATTAGTTGCTTACTAGTTTTTTTTTAGATCAGTTACAAGAAAGCATTGATCGAAACACTATATTATAGAGTATGTATTATTGACAAATTGGTAGAAGAATTGATGAACACTGAAAAATGACCAAGAGGCAAATGCTACCAACAGAAATTTACTGAAAAATGTGAAGAATTTAAGGAAAACAAGACGAGTATGACAACAGTCAATGAAAAACCATTATCTTCAAATCTCTACTTCAAATGTAATGACGTCACAAGCAGGGAGGTTAACACTGCAATAAACTGAACCGAACATGCAGTCAAACTGCATAAAACATATTGAACATGTCAATAAAAGTTTGACAAATACCCCCTTTATGTTACCACCAACTGTGCCTACAGATTTACACGTACCCATCAAAGCAGCTATATTAGCTGAACAGAAAAAAGAGAATATCTTAAAACATTTTCCAAAAAAGCCTTCGAAGAAGAGGAAAACTATCTTAAATAGTTTAATTAGTAAACGTCTCTTTGATACAGGACATCAGTTTGACTTGTGATCTATTAAAGTGATAAATAATTAGCCAAGCTCTAATCGTCTGAAGTTTGCTGAAGGCGTTGGTCTCAGGCGTCAGAAACCTGATTTTTATGTCCCAAGTGTAATGGTTGTTAATATTTCTTTCCTTTGGCGACTCACTTTATTCTTATTAATTATCAGTGTTCACTCATTGCGTAATCACTTTTTTCTAGACCCTTTAGTCTACCGTTACCATCACTGTTGTAAAATGTTCCTTCACACAAAGGATATATTCACAATATTTTATTTGGTCTATTACGTTTATTTATACCCTTGTTACACTATAATGAGGTAAGATTATAACAACTAAACTCTTTCATGCAAGTAAATTAAACCACATTCTAAACATCACATTTTGTAAGCAGCTGATGAGGATCAAATGAAATAAAATGAATTCATGCTATTCTATTCAAATCTTTGTTCTTTCTCTCTTCAAAATAAAAAAGGGAACTATGTGTATGAAATTACTGTTATATTTATCGAGTCTTTAGTACTGATCGAATCATAAACAAATTTCATTATTTTAATTGTTAAAATCATGAGTCAATTGAAGCTAGACCACCATGGAAAACCTGGAAGCGCTAGACGGCCGTTTCGTCCTACTGTGGGACTCCTCAGGTCCTGGGTTCGAATCTTGTGGGGCGGGATTGTGGATACGCACTTTTGAGGAGTCCCACAATAGGACGAAACTGCCGTCCAATGCTTCCAGGCTCTACATAGTGGTCTAGCTTCTATTTACTCATGATCTCAATTATTGAAACTACTAAAATATCCACAAAACCCGTCCTGATAAATTTCATTATGACAATTAATCCTTGCACTAATGATGTCATAAATACTGTGTAGGAGATAAAATGAAACAGTTAACTTTTTTGTGATTGCGAAATCAAGTCATATAGTTAAGATAAACGGAAAAACCCTTTATAAATTTCATCGAATTTTTTACAGGTAAAAATAGAAACGGATTATGCAATAGTTGGGGTTGGTAAAGTGCCCTGGTACGGCCGAGAGTGAGGAGAGTCCGCTCTCCCTCTTGAAATGCTCTCACATGGCCACGCGTATATAGCCTCTGCCAGGGAAGTCCTAGAGGACGAAGCGCGAATGTTCGGCGCTTTAACCGGATTCCAAACCAATGGTGCACATGGGCTCCAGTATCCTGTGGGAACGAATCGTGTATGAACCAACTGTTGGTCATCGGCTTCTATGGGACTTCATCTCCTCACAATGATCCACTGCCTTGTGGATCAGACCTTTAGGTCATGACCATTGATATTCGGACATTAAGTTTCATTGAGATAATGAACTGGTCAATGTTAGACCATTAAAAATTTGGAAGCATTAAACACACTCCTCTGGATTGTGCATCAGTGGTTCCTTACGAAGGACTTAAACCCAAGACCTTCAGTCTAACTCAAACGCCCAAACTCTAGATCAATGAGTGAAGATCCAAAGGTTTTAATGTCTAACTTTAACCAATCCGCGATATTGTGCGACCATCTTCTATTGTATTTGGTGGGTAACTGCCTCATATCCGACACAGTTTCGGACAGCTAGTCGCAGCTTTTTAAACCATGTTACACCGATGTCAGCACATAATCATTTTTAGTATGGATTTGTGGAATTTTCATGACTAATTCATCACTTTTCACATACAGTAATATGATAGACTACTGAACTCATTGTTACTAGGGCGTAGGCAAAATATTATGACAAAGTTAGTTATACGTCATAGTAAATTCCAAAATTTACTTTAAATTAATAGAAAAACTATAAACTAAGAGATATCAGATTTAAACTTAATCATTTATATACATAATGATTTCAACAAGAGATTACAAATTCATCTCTTCAATACATGGTTAGTTTGTGAATATCGTCGACTTGTTGATGTGTAACCGCATATTTGAATGAAACCATTATTCAATGAAGATGTTTCCTTATTCAATAGATCTTGACCAAGAAGCATTTTATTCAATCAGCATTCACTTGAAGTTTGGCCAGAAACATCAAGAAAGTGAAAAGTTACATGTGGAGTTTCTGAGTGATTGATTGCTATAATGCTACTATGTTTAGTGGCAAACACAAAAACACCTAAAATACTATAAAAACCCTATATTTTCTGTATTAGAAAGAACCATTTGAGTAAAAAGCTTCTCGCATATTTTGCTCTTTTTCTCTCCTGTTCAGGTTGCTGTGTCGTTCTAGCTTGGGGGTTACGAGAATAGCTTACGAACCAAAAATAGCGTTCAATTAGCAAGACTTATCAACTTATTATACTGAAAGAATATTACACTACATTAACATAAAAGCATATCATAATCAACAGATGCCATTCAAGTATTACATTGAAATATAAATAAATCAAATGAATTTATACATGATCCTAACAAACATTGAATGATCACTACTGTCTAATCTTCATTACACTTACCGAGTTCCATTCAATTCACTTGAAACGGACGATACTACTAATAATTATATTATTAAACTACAAAATTGATTGTTAATAGATGTCAGATATTCAGAAGAAATCTGCCAGAATCCCTGAAGTTAGATAATATGCTAAGACTATTATTTATTGGACGAGCCAATCAGATTTAA